ACAAAGATAAGTAATGCAGAATAAGACCAACACCTTGACAAATTTGTATATTTTCTGTTTGATAAATACCAATACTATAAAAAAATGATAATAATGCCATAGCAAACCAAGTATTAATAACACAATGTTTTGCCTTTTTAGGCATAGTAATTGATGTGTAACAAATAATATATGTAACAGACATAAAAATTAAACATGTTATTGTTGCAATGCTACCAATATATATTGCAGGATTTGAATATCTAAATTTTGCTCCATTTATGCTAAAAAAAAAGAAAAAAATTAAAAATTAATTTATATATAATATTTTTAATATAAATTTATTAAATATATACCTGTTATCATCATAATCAAATGAAGATGTATCTTGTAAAAGGCCATAATATCCTAATCTATTACAATGAAATATTATTAAGTTATTTAATACGTTTCTTAAATGACAACCATCACTCGTCCAACCACCTGATTTATTTAATGTTTCATCCCAAACTACAGGTAATAATTTTTTTCCAGCATAATAATACAAAGGTACTTTAAGCATAATATATACAGGCTCAGTTAAATTTTGTACTGACATTCCATCTAAAAATAAATTTGAAATTACATATTATTTTATTTTTCAATAAAAATATCTTACATTTAAAATTTTTAATCATACATACATAATTTGCTTCCAATGACACAAGATGCAATATCCATATTATTATTGTTATTTATTTTAGGAAACAATCTGTTATTGCTATATACGGAAATCATTAATTGATAAGCAACAATCTCATGTGAATAATGTAATAAAGATGCAGGTAAATGTATTGATGCTTCAATTACTCTATCTTTTATATTAATAGGAGATGTTCTATTGTTTGTTGTACATTGTAAAAATCGTATTTCTGGATTATTATTGGAATACCATGTACATATCAATCCTGTGAAACTATCACGTTTAACTCTAAATTCTTCTAATGCCATATTTTTTTTATAAAATTGTATAGATGGAGTAAATTCTATAATTTTTTCAACAGCTTTTATTATCCGTGTACAAGATTTAAAAGAAATTTCAGCTTTTCTTAAAATATTCTTTGGTACATTAATTAAAGTACTAATAACATCGATTAACATGGAACCAAGTTCTTTTTCTTCAATTATAAAATTTAAATAATTTTCTATAGTTTGAGTTATAAAATTTATTTCAATAGGATCAGTTATTTTTATAGCATTTCCTGTATAATTTTTGAATTTTTTTGCTGTTTCTAATAAATTGATTTTCGTAAGTGAAAGATTAACTTTAGAAAACTGTTCTAAGCTTTTTGTTATATGTGATATGTAAGGACATAATTCTGTGTTTAGATTTTCCCAATATCCAGTAATATTACATTGATAAGAAGCTTTTAAAGGCATTTGCATTAAACCTGATAAATGATTTCCTTCACATGGCAATTCTGCCTTCCATCCTACTACAGTTTTTGGCCATGTGTACATACCTTTATTA